TTTTGTTCTAGCATTCGCATTGCATAGCATGTTGCATGGAAAAGGGGATCATAAGAGTCTGTGCACCTCAAGAGGAGTCTTCTCAGAGGTTTGAATCTAAGCAAGAGTGGTTACTCAAGTTTGATTGGTCATCAGGACATCTTGATGTGGTCATTGTCTTGTGAAAGGACGGATGGATGTGTACGGGTCAGCTCCTAACTGGGAGGCCAACTAAAGGGCATCAGAGGATTGTGAATGCATGATTTTGGGTATGAGATGTAAAGAAAGCTTATTGAGGGCCTTGAGGTTCATTGTGGATCTTATTCAAGTTGTTGTGTGAAGTGGAACAAGCCACGGTTGAAGGTATTGCAGTTAGGGTTTTCATCTGGTAAATCCTCAGTCAACTGTGCAATTGAAGAAGATAGAAACTCAATTCAAAGTCTCTATGGTCATGATATGTTATGTTAAGACATATGAGACATTATTTCAAGTTCAATTCATCAAGGGTTAAGTGTGTGAGAAGTTACTAAATTAGGGTTCTCAGGGTAAAATCCCCTATTTAGTGCCTGACTTCAAGACCACCTTCCTCACGATACAAGTCTCATATCAATTTTTGGCAAACATGGAACTTGTAGAGCATGTTCTTATCTTGAAATTGAGTACTAGAAGTACTCGATTGGATTTATAGAACTCAAGTTATGATCCGAACAAGTTACAGGTCATTTAAGGGATGTGATTTTGGTCAACAAAAGTCAACCAACTTCCAAGCCAGTTTTGACCTAGAAGGGTGTTTCTGCTCAACTTTTAGTCAACATGGAAGTTGTAGGTATTGATCTTAGCTTTCCAAATTGTATTAGAAGTCTTTCATCTGATTTGTAGAACTCAAGTTATGAGGTTTACAAGTCAGGGGTATTTTGGGAAAGTAAGATTACAGGTCATAAAATTATAGGTCCATTTCACCAACTTGCACACTTCAAATGGAAATCTTTTCAACATGAAACTTGCTTGAAATAGGGCCATTTGCACTACCAAATCATCTCTTGTCATGATGGGGGCTTGGATTGAGAATTTGAGGTTTGAATTTTTCATAAAGGAGGCTTAAATTGAGAATTTGAGAATTAATGGATTTTAAACTTTTTCAAGGCAAGTTTGTACATTTTTTGATTGCAAATAACAATTGAAAGACATTTCCATCTTCACATTGGAAATTTGAAGTCTCAAAATGGGCCATTTTCATGGTTTCTTACTCTTGAAGTAACAAAATGAAAGTCAACCATAGGATCAAAACTAAACCTCCAATCTCATTCCTTTAATCAACACAACTGATTTGTAGTGGATTTGGATCAAAAAACCAGCTGGTGTAGTGGTAAAAACGTGCATGGCATTTTCAAAAAGTGTTGAAATGTGAAATTTTGAAATGGGCTATTTTGCTTGAATTAAAGCCCCATTTGATCACAAACCCATCATATAAGTATTCTAGATGAAAATTGAGGCAGAGCTAGGTCATTTTCGTGCATGAACAACCATTTCACATTTTCAAAAAGTGGTGAAAAACTCAAAAACCAATTCTCAGATTCAGCCACTTTCCGACCAAATCAAGCTTTTAAACACCTCAATTGAAGTTCATGGAGTGATTCTGGACGTTTTTCGTTAAGCTTCATCACCATTTCAAGGCCCAATGGAGGCTCTCCACTAGGTAAACTTTATTTCAACTTTACACTCTTAATACTCCATGGTTTTCCACCATTTTTGTTGCATTTGAACCTTTGAGTTACATAGATCATTTCTGGATTATTTTTGCTTGAGTTTATGATGTTTGATTTTGTGAGCTCAAATTTGTGTTGTTTCTTTTTGATGGATGTTGGTGTTGTTTTGCTTTAATTTTCATGGATTCTTACTCCTTGCAACATGTAGATGATGTTTGGACCATTTAATTTGAGTTTTGGTTAACTTTATATTTTGCACACTTTGCTTGTTGTTTGATTTATGGATTGGTTGTTGAGAATTAATGGAAATGGAGGCTAGATTCATGATCCTCGCGGCGAGAGGATGAATTTTCATCTAAGGTTCATGAGAAATGGTGAAGAAATGATTAAGCCACGGTGCGGGGGGGGGGGGGGGAGTGCTCGCGGTGGCCGGAGCAAGGAAGGTGGTGACCGGCGATTTTTCTGGCGGACTGGTTTGGTCGGAGTTCCATTGGAGAAGACGATGATGACGTGGCAGCCCCGTGTCCATCCGATTGGTTTGTTTTGATCTCGCGCGTCCAAACATGACTCATGTGTTCCTCATTTATTTTGTCCACACCATATTAATACTGTAACTCATTAGTTGACGTGGAATTTCATGAGCCACTTGATTGAATTACTTTTATTTTGATCATGAGGTTCACATTGCATTCCATCATACACTAAGTCAACTCAACCTTATTTAGTCCATTCTGATTTTATTTTCTTTTTTTCTCTTGGTGGGCCTTTCACGAACTGCTACTCACCCCCCCCCCCCAGGGAGGCCCATTTTCCTTTCACACTCATTACTGTTTACTGTTTGCACCCATCTTTTGTATTTAATTCTTATGTTATTTTATTTTTCTGTTTTGTGCAGTTTTCATTTTAATTCAAATAAAATAGTTCCAATAGTTTAAAAATTCCCCAAAAATAATTTTCATAAACTTTGAGATGTCTAGTTTTTTCTGAAAATTTTTATTTTATTTTTTGACTTTATTTTCAATTAAAAAACGAATTAAATATTGGGGCTGTTTTATTTGATTTAAATTGTGGTTTTGTTCTTTCTTGATTTTATTTCCATGTTTAAACTTCTCATTTTTGCATGATTTTTTTTAGCATTGTTTTAACATGTTGATTGATCTTTGTATATTTTTTCCATGATTTTTAAGTGCTGTTTCCATGTGTTTTGAATTTCTTTTTGTTCCCTCTCCATTTCTGCCTTAGTTTGGGACACTCTTAGTGTTTGCCTTCTGTTGAGGCACTTCCCTTTTGATTTTCAATCTCCCCTTTTGACCCCTGGTTCCTAATACCTTGGGGGTCCTTTGATATTTTATTTGGCATTTTTAGATGTATTTTCATATTTTTCATGTATTTTGCAAGTTACTTCATGTTTATGCATCTTTGCTGGTGTACTTGTTTTGGTTTGCTTCCAAAAGCTTGGTTGTGCATTATTGATGAACATAATTTTGATTGTTTCATGTTAGGGGCTTGTTATAGGTCTTGTGTGCCAATTCATAGGTCTTTACCTTATGCATAAGTTGTCCATTTGATCTCATACTTTCATGTTTGCATATTGTGTTTCCATAAGTGGTGTTTGCTTGCATTTTTTGATGTTGTTGTTTGCATTTGCTTATGATGTTTTGCTTGAGTTTTTGAGATATCTTATCCTCATCCTCATTCTGTCCTATGACCTTGGAATACTACTTAAGGTTGCTTGGTTCCTCCTGAGGAGGAACCTGAAGCTTGCCTAAAGTAATGAATCCATGAGGACTTTTTCTCATTGTTTTTGTTACTTGTTTTTTATGCATCTTCTTCTCCTTTTCTCTTGTGTTTATTCATACCATGGCTTGAGGTTGAGATGAGCTTATGGAGGTTCCAGCCCCACACATATTTCCTCCCTCGCTTGCATTGCATCTTTGTCTTCCATGTTGCATTTGTGTTTGCATTCTACATTTGCATTGTTTCTTCTTCTTTTGTCTTCCTTCCCTTAGAATTTCTAACCTCTCTTGTTCAAGAGAGGTTATGATAGACATTAGGGCTCTAATCATGCATGATAACATTAGGTAGTCCCCCTTCAAACTCAACTTTAGGTGCATCTTGCATGACAACTTTTAGGGTTTGGTCTAGTCCCCCTTAGTTGGTCTCTTTCTCTTCTCATCTTCAAACAGCTTCAATCCACTTAATAAAGCTTGACAATTGTTGCATGCTACGAGCCTTAAGCCATTTGGGAAATGATGATTGGGTGGTTGCCTCTCAATTATCTAGAATGTTAGTGTATGTCCTTCGGACGATATACGAAGCATTCGCTCCTAAATCATAGTCTCTAGTGTAGCATGAGTCGCAAACCAAATTCAAAACACTTCTTCCTTAAAAAACACAAAAAACAACTCAAACTCTTTTTCACACCTTGGGGTCTTAATCAGAAACTCTTTTCATAAACAAGAGTGTTGTTAACTTTCAGTCCTATCGCAAACGGTAACGCCTAAGTCTCCAAAGGTCGAGCTGCATACACCAACTACTAGAACTGTCTGTTAACCCTACTCGGGTAAAACTTTTGAGCAGCCTGTGTTCTCGTAAGCCCGAACTACGTTTGCTCTGATCTTTCATACCAGACGAAAGTACGTAGGCACAAGACGCGATGTATTGGCGAGCAACCTTCCCCCCTTCTTTAGCCGTAGTTAGGCGAACTACGTTGACTCTGACTTTCCCATTGCACGAGGGAGTACGTAGGCACAGAACGGCGATGCTCTGCCGAGTCAGTTCTTTTTCTTTCTCTTTTGTCCATAAGCCTTTAGTGTAGATAGTTTACACACCCTTTTTAGCTAGACAACACATGCGTGGATCCCATCGAGTACGACGGACGTGAGGGGTGCTCATACCTTCCTCTTGTGTAACCGACTCTCGAACCTAGGACTTGGTTGCGATGACCTCGTCTTTTCCCATTTTCGTCAGGTTTTTTCCGATTGTTTCCTTTCCCTCTCTTTGGGATAAATAGTGATAGGTGGCGACTCTGTTAGTCATTGTCGGCCTCTTTTTTCGCAGTAGCGATAGTTGGCAGTGCATCCCCGCGGAGGGAAGCGCGCAGAGAACGTCTTGAGGCACGTTGTTCTACTCGACGGGAGCATGCCCTGCCCGTCGAGGAGTCACGTGCTCGACCAACCTGCTTAAACCAGATTGGGTCTTTATCGCGCATCATTGGACTGGGCCGCGTGGTGAGGCCGGGACCCAGGCCAGAACACTTTTAATCTTCTTGCCGAAAGTAATGGTTATTTTGATATGGTGTTAATTGATCTTTGTATGCCAAACACAGATTCCTGTCACTGTATTCAATATGTAATCCTACAACACAAAATCCCTGTCATTGGTAACTACTTTAACGCTACCGTAAAACTCTTCATTCATATTATCTATAGACACTTCAATGTAACTAAGATCATTATTATTTATGTCTGTAGTGATTTCTTCTGATGCCACACAAAGTTCTGTCATAAATTCTATCACTCACGGCGCCTGTGATTATTGGCTTCAACCTTTGCATGAAAAACAATTCAAGACCATGTGGCAACATGTTGCCCGAAAAACTTTGATTGAAAATAAACAACATCACGATCTTGGATTCTTGAAGGTTGGAACTGATAAAGAACCTGAAGTTCTTGGAATCTTGGAGACTCAAAGTCATCAATAACCTGAAATTCTTGAAATCTTGAAAGCTCAAAGCCATAAAGAACACGAAGTTCTTGAAATGTTGGAGGCTCCTCGACATGCAAAAAAGAGTCGGTTATCATGGACAGAGCAACTGCATCAACAGTTTGTAAATGTTGTGAACCAACTTGGCTTAGATGGTACGGTTCTTTCATATTTCTTTCCTTTTCTTTGTTTGTATTCTTTAATAACTCAACTTATGTGCATCTTGTTGTTTATTTTTCAGAGGCAAAACCTAGAAATATTCTCAAAATTATGGGATATTTCTGATTTACCAACAGCACAGGTGGCTAGTCATTTGCAGGTTGGGTTTTGATGGTTGATTTGATGTTTATTTTGTCAAAAGTCTATGGAGTATAATTATTATTATTAACATTTTTTATGATTACATTAATGTTTTGCAGAAGTATAGGAATTATTTGAAGAGACCATCTTGTGGAAAAAAGTCAAAGAAAAGTCCAAGGATTGAGACTCCAGCTGAGTGTATTAATAAAACATCATTAGAATCTGAAGATGTTCACTCAATGTTACAACAAGACCAAAGTTCTCAATTGGATTCAACTCTTCATAGTGATAATATTTTTGAAACACAACAACAATCAAATGATGTTACTAATTATCAAGTTCCCGACAGTGGCTACAATTATGAAACACAACAGCATTCAACAGATGTCAGCGATGGTCGAGTCTCCGACATTATGAGCAACGATTTTCCTGATCCATCTGACTCGCTCTTTGATTTAGATGAGTTAATATCATTATTATTTTGAAAGCATATGAATGGGTATACAATTAGGTGCTGACTAATTCATATGAAGGCGTAGAAGAAGGTCATGGATGAAAGACATATTCATTTTATTCGTTAATGTAATTAACTATTCTAACAGTTTCTGTTTTTTATTCATGAGTCAATTTTGAACTCTTAAAAATGCAATGGTTATTTTAATGTTAATCTGATGAACCTTAATAATTTAGTTGTTTATATGATGTTGTGTTTAAGTGAGTTTAAATAGTTGATCAACTTGTTTATTAAATAATTAAGTTGAACTAAGATAATATCTTGATAGTAAAAGGAAATCAACATGCTTGTAATATTAAAAAATAAAATACATACTCTAACTTTGATAGCTTATGAGATTCTATTCATTTAACTTTTGTTATCAAAAAACATAAATTACTAAATTTGTTAAAATACTGTTGGGATCAAATTTGTGTAAAATATCATAGACTTTCTCGCCTCTTAAATTCATTCACCCATTGGTAGCAAGTAAAAATATATCAAAAGATCTCTATCTCATAATTGTTGGAGAGAAAAGTGGTAATTGTCTTAACTAACTAATAAGAGTCTACATGCTAATAATTAAATAATACTGTAGTTTAACATTTCTCTCAAACTCCTTCCAACTGGAGTGTATGATATGGAGATCCTGTTTAGAAATCAGGGGAGGGTAGGACAGGTACAGATACCTTTTCCAGCAGTATCATGTCCTGTTCCCATTCCAGTGGAGGAACCCACTACTGTAGCTATTGAGGTCTATGAGCGGGTTGTGAAAGAAAAAGAAGACTTGATAAAGATCAATGAAGAGTTAGAGAAGGAATTGGCTCAGATGCGGAGTGAGAAGAATAAAGCTGTGTATTCCTTCCAGCAGCAGACTGAGTTAGTAAACAGGCTAGGTGCTGAACTGACAGAAGAGAAAAAGAAGCGTGAACGCTTGGGAAAAGAATTCAGAAGCTCTCATGATATGTTAGAGTCCAAGAAGAAGTCGCTCGATGCCGCCCACCGGGAAATCTCTTCATGCAACAAAACGTGGAATGCTACGCTAACTGTTGCACCCTAAAATTTGACCAACTGGTTTTACCTGATTTGTGTTTTCATAGCTTTATCATTTGCATAGTAGGTCATATACATAGTTTATTCATTTGCATAGCATAGCATGGGCAAGCCATCCAACAAGGGATCAAGTGCTATTTTTCATCTCAAGAAGCATATCCAAGGGGTTTTTATTCAAGCCCAAGCCTATTCAAGTCACCAAGAAAGAAGGTGAAGCTCTGAGAAGTTAATAGATCAAGCAGTGGATTTATAGCCTATCTGGGGAGTATTTGAAGATCATCATAGAGGTTGTGAGCTATGAACTGGGGCATGGAATGTGTAGAGACATCATGGAAGACCTAGAGGGTCATTTTGAAGATGAGACAAGTCATTGGTGTGGTGACAAGAACTACAGTTGAAGACAGTCAACTAAGGTCTCACCTGGGTTAACCCTAGGTCAACCCTAGGTCAAATGCTTGATTGAAGGGCATCAAGGCCTATTTGAATGATGTGGGGTTCATCATTTGATATGTGGATATGGATGTGGTGTTTTGCCAAGGAGAAATCAAAAGAAATCAAGAAGAAGAGAAGTTTCTAAATTAGGGTTTCTGCGTAAAATTCCCTGATTTAGGTCAAACTTCCAAGCAAAGTAATTCAAAATGCAAGTCTCAAATGGATCCTTGGCCAACATGAAACTTGTAGAGTATCTCAAGAAATTTAATTTGAGTGGTGGAAGGCATCAAGGAGATGTATAGAACTCAAGTTATGGTTCTTGCAAGTTAGGGGTCCTCAGAGGCATCTGAAATTTATCTATGAAAGTTACTTGACTTCCAAGCAACTTTTACCCTATAAGGAATGTTCAAATGGATTTTTGGCCAACATGAAAGTTGTTCCTCATGATCTTAGCTTTCTATAAAGGTATGGTATGCCTCAATATGATTTGTGGAGCTCTACTTATGATCTTGACAAGCCAGGGGTATTTTGGGAAAGTAAGATTATAGGTCATTTCAAGCATATGCCTAAAACTCCTACTTGCAAGCTTCAAATGGGAAAATGTTCAACATCAAACTTTCTCAAAATGATGTTTTGAGTCTAGGAAAGAGGTCATGATAGCTTAGAAATGCATGGAACTCAAAATGCCCAAAAATGGCTTGAATATGGAAGGATTTCAAATGGATTCATGGAGGGAAAATGTAATTTTCAAGTTATGAGTCCAAAATGCATCATCCAAATACTCATTTCAATTGGAAAACATCTTTTAAAAACAATGACATTAACACTTTTTTATTAGAGGTCAGAATCATGGGCTTGCTTTGTAAACCTCTTACTTGAAATCCAAGTTACACAACCAAAATCCAACACAAGCTGATTCAAGCCAAGCTAACTATCCACACACATCCAATATCTCCTTAGAAGGTAAATTGAACACAAGACAATTTGAATTGAGAGCTAAAACCAGAACTGATATGTTGATATCATCAAATGAGAAATTTATGACATGAGAATTTCATAATCTCATTGGAGCCATCCAGAACATTCTAGAGGATTCTAACATCACCTATATATGAATTTGAGTTGATCTAAACAAGGATTGAACTTCATTTGGTGCAGAAAAGAGAGATTGAGATTCATCTTGCTCACTTGCAATTCAATTTCGAATTCACCCAATTCTTCATCATTTCTTCAATTTTTTGATCCAAATCAATTCAATAATCATCACTGAGTGTATTGCAATCAAAATCAGGGTAAATCATTGGCCAAATCGTGTTCTTGAGTTCTTACTTCTTCATCTGCAATTGGAATTCTGTTACACTGATTCAGGCCATTTGAGGAAGATCTATTGCATACAGAAGCAAGCAATCATCACACTGATCGATTCTAGAGCTTTGCAAGCATTGATTTGGAGGATTTTACCATCTGTTTACCTCATTTTATCAGGTTAGTAACTTTTTCACCATGGCTTGAATTAGATAGAATCATCAAGATTGGTTAGTTTAAAAGCAATGTATGTGGTTAGGAGAAACTTTCTGGAGAGTTTGAGAGGAATTGGTGATGATTCATATGTGCACATAGATTCTGTTGAGATCAAGAACTCAGTGAATATGGAGTTATAGACTTAGTTTTTTAGTTAGGATTGATTAGTGATGAACAAGGAAGAGATTAAACATGATAATTTGATGAATGATGACAATTAATGTTGGACCTAATTTTGGGATGAGAATCCTGTTTGGAGTTGTAGGCCATATCAATGGATTCTGAAACCATGGTTAAATTCAGGAGAAAAAATGGAGTAGGTCTGGGTTTTGTTTTGTTAATTTTGGTTCATTTTTGAGTGAGCACGATTTGCTGGTGTTGAGTGTTCTTGGAGGAGCTTCCATGGTTGCTTTGGCTCCAAAATAAATTTGAATGGGGAAGACAATGTTTCAACTGTTGGATCGAGAGAGACTCGTTGACTTGGAAGGGATCGTGTGGACAAGATTGCGCTCAGATTGTGAAGGTTTCTATGGAAGGTGAAACGCAATGTTTCATTTAGTGGAAACGTTGGGCTTGAGTGGTTTTTCATATGCACACCCCCATCTAAGAGGCCCAGTAGAAATGAACGTGTATTGATTGATATTTGCACCGCATCCTTTTTATTTTCTTTACTATTTTTAATTGTTTTTCTGATGAAATATTGGGCCTGGCGCTATACTTTTTGAACCCCCCAGTCTGCGCCCAAGCGCATAATGAACTATATCTGTTTGCTGGCTGCACCCCATCCCCTCATATTTCCATTTTATTTTCTCCATTATTTTTCATACTTTAGAAAATCATAATAAATTGAAAATTAATGTTTTTTTCATGGGAGTTTTTTCTCCTACTTCATATTTTTGTCTAGAAAAATATAAAATAAAAATATTTTCCTTTCATGCATTTTTGGTATTTTTTGTATATTTCCTACTTTTATTGCATTTTATTTCTTTTATGTTGATACATGAATTTGTAGAATTTGGTTTAGGTAGTTCCCTTAACATTTTTAAGCCATTATTTTTAGGATAGTTAGATATAAGTTTTAGTTCCCCCTGGATTTATTCCATGATTTTGTGATTATTTTTAGGATAGTTTTGATTAGATGACATTAGGTTGTGTAGAATTAGGTCAAACTTCAACATAGGTGCACCATAACAATTTCTTTTGGGTTTTTAGATTGAATTAGGACTTGGGGAATATAGGGTATCAAGGGTAGGTATAGTAGATCCCCTAGAAATAATATTAGAATTTTCCCTACTATATTAATATTTTTAGTATATTTTGCAATTGTATGCTTGTTTGGTGTGCCCTTTTGGGGTTTATTTTGTTTGTGTGGGCCCATTGGGCTTTGCTTGGGGTGTGGGCTTGGTTTGAAGAGCATGATGATGGAGCTATTGAAGACAAAGTTGAAGCTAAAGATCAAGGCTTGATGAAGATGCTTGGCTTGCTTGAAGCTGTTTGAAGACCTAGGACATAGGAGCTAGATAGAGCCTTAGAATAGAAAATTTCTTCACAAATATGGATGGTCTCTTTTGCCTCCATTCTTCCCTATGACATAAAGTCCCTCTATGGTCTTCACCTCTCTCCTTAGGAGGGATCATTGGCCATACCCTAGAGGTAGAACTTTGAGGGAAACAGTCTCCTATAATGTCAATTGTTCATAGGCTTCCTTGGGTCGTCAATGAACGGTTTGACATTCAATCTATTCTGATAACATCATTTCTCTGTTGGAGAGCTTGCTTTGAAGGATCCTTTAGAGATTGAGGATGAAGTTCATTGCCTTGAAGACTGTTAGAAGAAGGAGCTGGTGCTGTCAGAGCTGTGCAACTGTTTGAAGTAGGACTTACTGCTACTTAGCTATTTGATGCTGTCAACTGTTAGAGTTTCTTGTTGCTGTTTTTCTTGAAGATGGATGCTTGTTTGAAGCTTGTAGATGGATGAAGACCTTGC